AAGATCCGCAATCGATTTTGGTTGTTCATTTTGCATTTCACTCGTTATTCGGTTATTTACATCATATATCGATTCGCATTCGGACTGTTAAGAGCTTGTTGCCAAACTCTGTTTCTTTTGCATACGCTTTTGCGCCAAGCCAAAGTGAAAACTGTACATTGAAATCTCTGTCATTAATAAAACTGAAGAGAGAGAAGAAAAAAAAGAATTCTTGTATGCGAAACTGAAACGATACGAGCAATTCGTATGCTGTTGATATTTTTCATAATACGTTTATTATTTTTGCACGTACCACGTCTTGGCCACTTTAAATTCTACAAATTGTGAATTGTGGTCATGTGGTTTTGGTTCGAGTTGTGAATTTGAATGTAAACGGTGTAACTGGAAGCGATTTGTTTTGGGTATGCCGTTTTTTCTTCTTCATTTCGATCGCAGCTCACGAGGCCCGAAAAAACGAAAGTAGCTTTGAAATTTGAGCGACGAACCAGTATGCTTTGTTGTGTGCAAAACACAACGCTGGAACAAGGTACCGACGATCACGTTTTATACAGCAAAGAAATGAATAACAAACCAAGTCAAAGAAAAACAACAAGAAAAACCAATAGCTTCAAAGAATATATTTATATATTTGTGTGTTTTTTTCTTCTCTTTCTCTGTTTATTATTTAATGGTATGTTTATTTTTGGCGTCTATTTTTCTCCCTTTCAGGCTCTTTCGCATTGGTTCTGTATGTTTTGAGTCTTCTTCTTTTATTTTCCATGTTTTGCAAGCGAATCAACTTAAATAGATGTACCATCGAAGCTTTTTTTTTTAAATAAAAAATGTGATATGTTAAGCACGTGCTAAACACCGTACGGAGTGGGGAGTGTGAAAGAGAAAGCAGAAATGCTTTATGTAAAGTACTAAATCCATTCCGAGCACACAATGTTCCGATATACATATTATTATTTGGATAATTTGCAAAAGAATACTGATCGTAGTCACGAAGCAGCGCTTTGCTTGTTTCATTGTGAATTTTTGACTTCCACTTTACACAGCAAGATCAAATATTGGGTTACATTTGTTATTGGCCGCATATATTCAATGGAGGTATTTAAACGAATCAGAAAAATTATCATGAATGTGAAGTCAAAAGCGAGTAAGCGTTCACATACACCATTGGTTGGTATATAAAAAAAGACACACACATATGGTTCCATTGAGTTTTGCCCGTTAACAGCAAAGATTGTTCAACGTGCGCTTGTGCGCATTCAAAATGTAAATGTAGGCATTCATCTGAAGACTGACCTAAATATGGTTATATTCTCTTACATAGAATTTCTTAATTAATGCTCCATCCGTATGCATGCCACTTCAGTTTTGGACCTGAAACATACAGACCGATTTTTTTTGTTTTGTTTTCTTTTTCTTCTATTTGTGTGACACATACTTTGACCATGAATGTTTATGAGTCAAGAATCTCGTTTTAGATTTTCATGTGAATTCAAATTGGAATCGATTCTTGGTCTACCCATTTTACCTAATTATTATGGATTCATTTGAAATGAAAGAACGAACAAAAAGAAGATATGTGTATCCAACTTTCTGGCCTGATATGCATCTGTGTAAAGAATTTTGAAGAAAGGTAGATGAAATGAGCAGCAACGACAACGACGACGAGATAGCAAGATAATAGAAGTAGCGCGACGAAGCCAAGGAGTAGATGTAATTTGTAGACAATATAAAACCGACTACGCTCTAATGACATTCAAAAATTTCTTCTTTTTTTTTGCACATTTTATTCTCTTTCTCTTCATTGTTCTCTTACTTTTACTTCTTAATGTGTGCGAACGAGCAAACGATTGCGCTCGTGCCACAAAGCAATCGAGCGCCCGTTGTCTTGGTTTTCTTCGTTCGTTTCTTGCTTGTTCGGTTTTGGCGTGATTTTTCCAAGCGACAGCATAAATAGTGTAGTAGAATATTATTTTTCAATTATTCACATCGAATAGACGAAACATAATAAGCGAACCGATCGAAGTAATTGGACACCAATACTTGTTGCTCTTTAACATTAAAGATAACAAACGAAAACATACATGATGACTGTGTACATTTTGCGCAGTATGAGAATGAGTGCGGCAGTGGGGCGCACAGGTACTCATTTTTTTTCTATTTCCATTGTGTATGTTTCGACCAACTTCCAAAGACTTAAGAACAAATTCATTAGCCAAATCATTACCGCGCTCATATACATATATAGCAAAGCATTCCGATAATTGGACTCTTCTCTCTCTCTCTCTTCCTTTTATTCTTGTCTTTCTTTTGCTTATCTCTTTTGTTCGCATAATTGGCGATTTGTATGTGGTGTGCTCGTAACGAAGGGAGTTGTACAACAATTAAACAACACAGACGATGTCGATTAAGAGGAAATTAACTCTCAATGAATTTCAATATCAGACAATGTAGCCAGCCAGAACATGCGCAAATGAATGAGAACGAAACGGAGAAAGAAAAGTAGAAAAACTCTCTTTGGCAGTAGCACAATTCATTATGAGCGTATGCACACACACAATACACCGCCATCGTCCAAAGAAGCTATAACAAATAAAACTACGCCAACAACATCGTGCTCATGCTAGTTTGTGATGCGCAAAAAAGGCAACAACAGAAAAGAATGAACAGTTTCTATATGGTATTGTGCGCAATCTCAAACCGACACTACTGCCCTAAATTTTCCTCATCGGTTTCTTCTTCAGTTGTCTTCCATCGAAGAAGAAGATGATGATATGGACTTTTTATGTGTATTTATGCGCGCAAAATTTTTCTTTTTAATTTATCACACTTTTTATCCAATTCACAAAAAAAAACACACCATAATTTTTTTGTGCTTTTCTTCTTTTTACCGATTGCATTTTTCTTGTATGAGAATTTAAGCATACGCTACCAACAAAACATGAATTTTCACGCGAATGGCCAGAACTGATCTTGATATAAATCTTTAACGTTTTTCAACACACATCTAAATATCCGGAAAGTCACCTCATTCTTAGCGAAAGAGCTCTCTCTCTCTCTCTCTTTTCTCTCTCTCTCTCTCTCTCTTTCGCATAAAAGAAAAAAAAGACAAGAAAAGAAATGTGATTTATTTGAGAAAAAGAGAAATGTGATTTCATAAAAGATGAGCAAGTGATGTGTATACAAATTGACATGTACTTGGAAGTACCTTTTGTAATAACTAGAAAACCCATCATAAATGCTATGAGATTCTCGTGATGTTCTCGCACGTCTTTTTCGTCGTTGTCGCAAACATATTTCTCTGCACATCAACCGTTTGATGTTTGTTTTGAGATCGATTGGTCCCATGAGAATATTAAACACCATTTTGTAGGCGTTACACATAGGCATTTAAGCTGACTAACAAATTTGTTATTTTTTCTCATTTCTGAGAGTTATGGGTGAATTTTTAAATGTGTATAAATAAATTTCCATTTTTTAAACAAAACAATAGAGCATTTGTGGCGACCACGCAAAAATCGAGTGAATTTGCAATGTTTTGGACTAGATTAAGAAGGTGGTACGTTGAACGGATTATAGTGTGATTCGGAGCGCGAGCGTCTCCTTTTCGTACCATTCAAAAGTGCGTTTTTCTGCAAAACAAAAAAGAAGACTTCTTTTCTGTTGGTTTGCGCTTTATTTATAGCATCGTGAACAGCAAAAAGAAAGTAACGCAACAGCATTTATTGCGAAAAAAAAGCGCGCGCGTTCAAACAAAAGAAGAAGATGGAAAATAATGGAAACGAATCGGATAGAGAAGAAAAGGCGAAAAAATCATTCTTGAACAGCAAAATAGTATACTTTCTTATGAGATTTCTGTGTTCGATGGAATGAAAGAAAGGAAACACACATATATTATAGACTGCTGTGATCGTTGCGAACGCAAGCAGTAAAGTGGTGTGAAAAGAGAGCTTAGGAGCTAAGCTACGATAGATCATGTCTTGAAACGCAACCAGCGCGCATTGTGGAAAATTTCTCTTTGAAAGCGCTTAAGATTTGTTTGTTTTGTTTATAGCTGTTTGTGTGTTTTTTTCGCTGGCTTGGCTCTATTGCATTGTGTTCAAAAGCATGGCACTATTAGATTGGCTGGCACCGCAACAGACTTCAGATACTGAAGACACAAAACAAAAGCACAGACTTATTTAGACTGTTTATTGCACTTGGATCCAACACGAATCCAGCGAATGAAGGTGGTGATGGCATCGCGTCTCGTATTCATTTCGTATGCAAGCTGTTTGTGTGCGAGCCTGCATCGATGCCAAATTGTTGTTGCTCTAGTCGATTTTGTAGAAAAAACACACAATCTTGCTGTTTTTCTATTCGAAAAACACATTCGCAGACTGATCTCGATGCTCAATCATCAAACAGATGGTTATGGTGGTAAATGTACTCGATGCTATCTCAACTAGTCGACTTCATATTCATAAGTTTAATTATTTTATTGCACCTTTGTGTGCAATTTTTCATTCATTCTTTTTTAGAGATGATTTTTAACGAATGGATTTCCCAAGCACAAAGAGAGAACATCGCAAAAAATGCGATATTGAACGATGCTTCTTTTTACGCGATTTCAGTTTTCTGGCTGGTGATTCTCAATAAATGAGTTAAATACACATTTTTATGGCAGAAGGAATTGATTTGAGCTGAAAAATTGTTTCGAAAATTCAAAGTGGAGCGCTTCAATTATCTACGGACAAAATAGATAGACGTTTCAATTTTCCTCAAAACATTTCTCTTAATCGCTGAATTATTTTCATTTTGAATATATTTTTAATTTGCAAGGAAATTAGTTTTGTTTAGTTAATTAATGACAATTGCCGTCCCGTTTGAATGAAAATATTCTACATGAAAATGCAAACAAAGTTAGCGCTCGACTTTGAATATCCTAATGTTAAATGCGAAAAAAAAATTGTGAAGAGCTCGTGTAATGAGCTCTCCCCCCAAAATAGTTTTTTTTTGCGTCTACTTACAGCAGTATCGGGTTGTGTAAAGGCAATTGGGTTGCGGCATTTTTTTAATCATCTGTAAATCCTGTCTCTCCTTCGGAGCTTGTGTATCCAATTCACAATGTTCGATGATAAATCACGAATCAAATATGTTTTTGCACTGTATTTTTCTCTTGAAGAAAAATTCTCAATATCGCAAATGTTCTGATTTAAGTCAATTTTACTGTCTTATCGTCTTTTATTATATCTCTTCCTTTCTGTCTCTGTGTGATCTTAATCGTTCGCTCAGATTCGCATTTCACGAAATCAAAACGAATTAGTGAAATTGTTGTTCGGTGTGAATAAAATTCTTGTTGCGCGACGGTCGACTTGCATCGTCCGATTTTCGAAATTTATATTAGTGAGTGAGAAATGACGGACGCAATGTATAGAAGTCAAACAAAAATAAAGAAGAAGGAAAAAAAAAGAATTCGTTTAATTTAGCCGATTTTTTGTTGTTGCTGTTTCAGCTCACACGGATGCTCGTGCTGTTTAGAATTCTAAATTGTATCTTGGTGACGTTTAATTCTATTTCTTTTGCATTTGTATCCCGTGATACATATTGTGCAATGATGATATACAATATGCTCGGAACTATGTCTCTCTGTCTTTCTATACGATAATATTTCGCGTATGTATATATATATATTATATTACATGCACACAATCTCATACACTGTCTCCTCACTCAATCTCGGTGTTTTTTTTATTTCTAAATATTTTATTATTTCAATCAATTCAAGAAAACCAAATAAATTTAGAATGCGACAAACTTGAATAGCACGACGATAAACGGTTGCGTTCGCATTACTTTTCTCTCTTGCTCGCTCTCTCGCGTTGTAGTCGTCGTCGATTAGAATTTTCGGTAATTTTCTGATTAACGTTTTCTTCTTTTATTTTCTTGCTTGTCAATTCAGTTCACTAGCACAAAATTGATTGTGATGATGATGAGTTGCACTGTTGTGATGAAGAATGCTCCCAAATTGCCCAGTTAAATCGGGAATTATCTCTCTCCCTCGAAAAATTCGTTAAAAAAAAGAAAGACAACGAATTTTCTTTTATCAAATCGCGTTGCGCAGTTTCAAATCAAAAACTGATTTATCTTCAATTAAAATGATCCAATGTCGATAAAACCACAAAGTAGTTAGAATCGTTGCAAAAATATGATCAAATTTACGCACAGAAGAACACAAAGTTTTTAAATAATTATTATAAATCGTTCGAAATAAAAAATTTCTTTTCTAATTTTTGTTACGAGTAGAAAAAGAATCGGTTTACTCAGCACACCGATCGGCGACACACTGATATGTGATGTGAATTTTTCTTTGCTTGATGTCTTATTCTCTGTATATAGTTCGTACTCTTGGGCTTTATTGTACGATGTTGTTGTTTTTGTTTTTTTCACTTCTTTCTTTTTGCTCTAGTCTTGCTACTTTCGCCGTTGCTCGTTAATCGTATACTACAAGCACTAGTTCAGTTACGCGCAGACTTTGTGTATCGAGAGAGCTCAAAACTATCGTTCTCGTACATGAACGATATCACAAATACAGACGGACAAACGACAGCAACGGCACACATACACACCGTTCTCTTTCTATCGTTCTCCTTCTCCTTTTTCGTCGGTCTCATATAAGCTTACGAGTAGCCGTAACGAGCGTATGCATGCATTTAACGGGGAACATATGGTTTGCGTTCGCTTTTGGTGAGAGTTCTCTTTACGAAGACGAGACGAGATCGTAAGCGATATTCGGCAAAGAAGACACGAAGAATGGAAACTGAAAGAGAGAGAAACTGAAAGATCTTACAGTGATTGTATGCGACAAGATAATAGACACAAACGTTTTAGATGAAAATTAAATCGAAACAAAAAGAAGAAAAGAAAACGATCTTGATTCAAATACGTCAAAACAATGCTTTTTCCCCATTCACTTCGCCGAACAATTTACTTCTTTGTATTCATCATATGAGTTCTATATATATGTGTGTATACACTATACAGTTATTGGCGACGCTTTGTGATCGCGTAAGCTTCAACCCCATCCTCATGAAAAAAAGCGTCAACTTTATAGATGCGAATCACAGCTATTCGCGAGGATCGATTGATCGCGAGTGTGGGAACATAACACACGAACAGAACAGTTAAATCAATAAAATGAAACACCTTCGTATATAGAAATCGCACAAACCAAGTTTATTGTGATTGCCATACGATGCGCTATCACACACAACCGTACTCACACGACACATGTGCGTCACACTCTTACCTTTCTCTCGTTCACTTCTAATCGGACGCATGACAACCGCTCGATTATTTAAAACAACAAATTTTCTTGTGTAATTGTTACCATTTGACGCCTGCTTGCGACAAATCAACCATTTCGGCTGTTATTCGTCTAGTCACCACAATACAAATGCATCGCAATTCAATTCTAATTTGATGTTAATTTATGTTTTAAAATGACTTATCAGCCCTCTCTTATCATGTTTACAGATTGCACATAGAAGCTATTTAATGAATAAACATTCTCGGATAGAATGTAAATGCGATGTTACTTTACTGGATTGTTATAGAAAAAAAATCAAAAATCGCTTGAGTACGTTTAATGGAAATATTCCGATTGACAAAGTCATTTGAACGAAAAGGAACATTTAGAACAGTTTTGAAATCAGCACATATTCGAGATGCGGCAATTATATGAACGGATCCTTTGAATGTTTTTCTATTTTGGCAGCGCTCAAAGAAATATTAATTATCTTGATTGTTATCTTGTAATTTGGTATTTATGCTGGACATGAAAAGAATTTGTATTTCAAAATGAAACCAAAGAATGTCAATGGAACCGATTGCCTAATGATGCCATTTGAATATTACAAAGAATATTTTGCTTGCATATCGATCGTGTTTTTGCGCAAACCATTAACCAATAGTTTCGGTTAATTGGTTTTTGTCACAATTTTTTTTACAATAACCATAAGTCTATGGTTCTTTTATGGTACTTAGGTTTGTGTTTTATGTGTGGCACGGATTTTATTTTGTGGAAAGTGACAACAATTACGAGTTTTTCAAGTATCAAATATTTCTAGTTTACCTGACTCTGGTAATTACCTTTGAAGAATGTGAAAGACAAATTTTGGACACCACACACACACACACACACACACGCACCGACTCGCATTGTGAAAATGTGAAATGTCTTGCGAACACCAGAATAGATCTAACTACCATTTAAATTAACAATCTTTTGCTAATTTCTTTTCAATATTTCTGTGTTCAGAGCCAACATATTCAACTGAAACTGGATTGTACTACAGCGTGCGTTAATCACGGTCAATTTTTCGCCATTTTCAGCATTGATTTAGAATTGTGGTGTGGAATTTCTTGATTTCGATTATGTGTGTGCAAATGAACTTGAGACACGGACGGGATCAACAATAGAGTGAAAGAGAAAGAAATTTCTGGTTGTGAAATCCTTTGCTGTGTCTTTTGATTCAAAAAAATGGCGATTAAAAGAGAAGAGACAAATGGAAACAAAATAAATATCACTTTCGAAAATGTCTTTGCGTTTCTTTCGGCTGTTTTAAAAATCTCTGCATATTCATGGTTTGAGATTTGCCTATCTTAACATAAAAGGCATCACGGTAAATAGAAGGCGAAATTGAAACACGAAATTATTATTAAATAGAATCAAATGACAAAATGTGCGCAGTGAAAAAAATAAACTACATAGAAGAGGCGGCCGAAAAAAAGAAAACGAAAGATGAAGACGTAGTTAAAATGCTTCTAACCAACATGGAATAGGTTTATGTGCGCGAAAGAGTGTGTGTTTGTGTATATGGCGCATGTAAAGTACACTCTGGCAAAGTAACTTATATAAAAAAGCACACATTTTTCGAATTCACCGTTATTAGAATTAACTTTCTTTTTTATTTCCTTCTTCTCCTTTTCTTTTCGCTCTTTTCTTATAAATCGGTTGCATGTAAATTGGATAAAATTGAGACTCTGCAAAAGATCGCAGCGTTGAGTCTCCTCTCCGTGATGGTTGCTTTTATTTTTCGACAATGCTGATGCCAAACAACGATTGGACATCGCATACACAGCAAATATGTGCGCTTCGAGTAAGAGAGAAAAATACTTTTTGGTACACAGCACAAGAAGACAACGATAACGAAGAATTTGCGTTTCCAGTTAAAACTTTTCTTTCTCTATCTCTCTATTTTGCTCAAGAAATCAAGTTTTATGCGCTGAGAATATGTGATTGTTGTGTACAATTGGTTTGACTGCTATTATTCAATAGAGAATCGGACCGTTTTCTTCATTCAAAACGAACACTGTGTCTGTATGTATATGCGCAAAGAAAGATGTATATACACGCTCGGCTAATTCCATTCAAATCTTGACAAACTAACAACCAGCGAAAAAAAAGATTTCTTGTTTCTACCTTCGGAGCACTAAAAATATAGGTCGATCACGATGTGCGACGCGTACACTATATCACTTTCTATTTTTGCGCAGCTTAAGAGTTATTATTTAACCATACGCAAATATAAAAAGCAAATCACACTCATCCACACAATTCAAATGTGCGTCAGAATAATTCACGAAAATCAAAGAGAATTTTCAGTGTTTTGCACATTTCGTGATCATTTTTTTTTTGTTCACATTTTGTTGAGATTGGTCAAAACTTGAGTTTTCATCTAAGATGTGGGCCAAAAATTGTCTACTTTTCTGCTGCAAGGTCCAAGAGTCACAAATATGTAATAAAAGTAACGGTTGAAATCATTTGTTTTGAACTATATATAAAAGTCATCGTGAATATTTCTCTTTTTGTCTCTTCGCCGTATAAATGTAATCTCTCTTCGATCCAATGAATTAATTTCGATGTCTGTATAAATACCAAAAACGATCGAATTTAAAATTTCGGATTATATTATTTAAATTCCAGATAAGATGGTTGCGAGTGAGCATACAACCACAACAAATCGTTCGGTCGTTTGCGACGAGCAACCCAATTTGTGCAATTTTATTCGACTCTACTTCTATGACAACCAAAAAAAAAACTTGAAACAAATTTCAATTTCTTTTTTCTCTTTCCCGTTTTTTTTCTACCAATGAAAAAATTATGATATTCTTTGTTTTTAAATTGTCGTTTTGGTTTGTTGTTTTAGAAAGGGAAAATCAAAACTTCTCATACGCACACCAAAACCGCGAACATACGCAGGCTTTTTTTGGGGCTAAGGTTTTTTGTTATTTTCATTTTAAATCTTGGTATATGCCCGTATATGTATGCGCTGAATGGATCACATTAAACAGATAAAAAAAACATTTGGCGTAATACTTTGCAATTCGCATTTGGCTTCATTTTGGATTTCTTCTATTTCTTTCTGTTTCAATTCCGGAGATTTTCATCCGATTTGAAATATACATGAAAAAAAAAGAAAAGACCAAAATAAAAGACACAAACGGTAAATATTGTAATGAGCCCGCAACTATCTGAATTCAACAAGCCATTCCTAAATGAATAAACACTTTGTATATGTGTATTTGTTTCTTAACTAATTCACATGAACTTTTTATGTTAATACAAAGCAACGCCGAGACCATCAAAATAACACATCATCTCTTGATTTTTGGCAGCGATGATTTTCCATCAGCTTAAACATCTTGACGTGAGTTAAAAAGAGCAAATGGAATTTTCAATCGTAAAATGAAGAAAGAAGCACACAAAAATAAGACAGATATGAAATGTATTCAAAGCAATGGAAAAATTTGAGCTAAATTTACCATGCACACAGAGAAAAAAAAAGAATGAAAGCCAATTTTATCGCAACAGAGAATCATAGCTCTCTTGAGAAAGTGATTTGACTGGCTTGATCAGAAGTATACTTTCCACCGCACATAGCGACCAATTTCATACACATACTTTGTCTTTTTTCTTCTACTATGTTTACGTTTCGCTTCATGCGCAAAGTATATCATGATTAGTTCTTTTAATGATGATCAATTACATTGCAATTTTTTTTGGCCACAAGATTCTTAACTTTTAGATTGTCACAATGGAAATTTTGAGTCGGCCTATCGTTAATACAACAAAACATTTAGGCTATACACATGTCGATTGTGAAACGTCTTCGGTTAATTAAAAACCATTTAACACGTCAGTAATTTTGGCTTTGCATTCTTGAGCCCCGGTTTTTTTTCCTGCCATTAAGTAAGTAGGTGATTTGAAGTTAATGTGTACTGTTATGTGATTCGAAGAGAGAACTGGAAATTTATCAAGATAAAGTTTCAAAATATCTTGAAATCTATTTTGCTATCTTTAGAAATTCTAATTGATTTTGAAAAGCATAGCCTTGATTACTTTTGAGCTACACACTCAGTAATGATTTTTTTTTGTAACTTTAATAGAAAATATTCAGACGGTGAATACCAAAAAATCAGGTTCCTTCAGTAACGATTACTTGAATTTCTTTTCATAATAGAACTTATTTTCTCTGCCCATAAGAAGTCAGACTAGATTCAGACAAAATTGACAACATTTATTGTTTAGTATAAAATGAGTAGTGATTTTGGATGATTCAAATTTTGGTTAAAATCTACTAAAGTTGACTTGCTCCCCAAGTTACTAAACAGACAGATAGAACCTGAAGTAGCAAAACAAATCGACCAGTTAACTATAATGTATACTTGACAATTTATATTGCTGTTAGTCAATCACAAAAAAAAATGTTTACCTATATCGCTGATCTTTTGAAAAATGTGATTCTGTCGAAGTGTAAACATTACAAATAGTAAGAAATTTCGCTGCAAAATTCGATGACTTGGTATTCTCAAAAGAGTTCTATTCTTGGAATAAAGCACCGTTCCCCTCTGGGCTTGGTCACATGAATTTCAAATGAAATTGATGTGAATCGATGTTGGCGATATAAAATTTTGGTTATCAATAATTTGCGGTCAGCATACACGAATCATTCGGTGAAATGTTTATTTTTGATAATCTTATCTTAGTTTGATTCTCTTTTGTTGATAGAACGCAGAACAATTTCATGTGCCGACAAGTAAAACAATTGTTTATTATTTATGTCGCATCTTTAGCTGCTGAACAAAAAGCTGTATTTATTATCAAAGTGGCGGAATTCAAACGTACATGTTAATTCATATCTGATTCTATTTTGTTGTTGTTGTCTTGAAGTGGCGATTATTCAAATAGGCTTTTACTTTCATTGACTGCAATCATATCAAATAAAACCACTTTTCAACATTTTTATGATAGAAGTATCATAAGTTTTATGATAAAGAAAGTGATAGGAATCATAAAGTTGAGTAAAACGTGTTAGATTCGAAAACAATTGATTATAAAATCAACGTGGTTATTGAATTGATTCTGAATTATTATTTTGACTTTCATAAATACTGACCAAAACATACTTGAAGGACTGTTCTGCTACCTGAATCCGTTTCTGTGTTTTTCGAGTACAATTTGTGTAGAAAATTTCGAATCCAACACGATTATCTCCATCTCCGTTTTTTTCCGTCATTTGCATACAAAATCATTTTTCACAAAGCACATTTCCATTCGCTTATCATAAATTCAATAATGTTTAATCGTTCTGAAACTAAACAATCTTCAATCTAAATGAAAGTTACACTCTCCGTATGCTTCATAAAATCGAAATAAAAAAGGAACTTTTTTTCGAATTGAACTTTTTTATTCGTACGATTTCACTAAAATTTATTCTATTCACATGAAAAATCGCAAAATCATAAAAAACCGCTGATTAAATCTATATTTCGCCGAGAGAATCGGGGCCTTGTTCATCATTTCTTATATCTTTCCGAAGTAAAAGTGAATGAATAACTCGTTTTGAGCGACTCGTGAGAATTTAAAAGTAGTGCAATGATATGATGGAGACGCCTTACATTGCTTAACGAATCGTCGTGAGTGGAGATGTGTGAAGAGTAAAGAATAAAGTTAATGAGAGAGATGGCCTAAAATTCAATGCATGAATACTTAAAATGTCAAAAGAATAGATTTCGAATTGATACACATTTTCTTGTCTCTACCTATAGTGGTAATCATAATCGTCACTCAAAATAATGAAACTTTTAAATGAAAAATATTCAAAAATGTGAACATTCCGATTCAAATACATTGAATAGGCTTGTCTCCACTCTTGAATATGCTCTTTTGCAACAACAAGACTTTGGCGCTCAAAACAGGCATTGTATCTGTCAATGTTGAATCATATTTGCGCGCACGAAGAAAAACATTGTGCGGCATTTGATTGTCATTGAACTTATAAATATTCTTAATAAACGACGATAAATAAATATTTTCTTTTCAAAACATTGACAAAAATATAATTAGAAAAAAAATGTCTCAACAACGATCGATTTTGTACGTATTAATTGCTGTGAAAAGATATGGTGAAATAGTGTTTCGATTCAAAAGAATAAACGGTTGCTTTGTTTGTGTTTTTTTAGATCATTCTTTGGAAAGCCCGCAACTGTCACTAAGACTGAAAGTGTCGCAAAGAGCGAGCCGAGCAGGTATTTCATGATTTTTTGTTGTAATTGCGTTGATTTGCCAAATTACCGTTTCTACGCAGCAAATCATTGTTGAACGCATGCAAAGTGTGTGCCATTCGCAACGTGGTTGCACATTTTATTTCGTTTGTATTATTTTAATTTGTGCATATATATAAAATGTATGCACCAAAATTATTAAGAATCGTATCAATTTGTAATCGTAATTTAGTTGTAGCCACACGTCAATTGTTATCTAGTCAACAATATTTACAATCACAAAATGTTATCGTTAATTTACAACGATATAAATCGAATGTTAAGAGTAAGAGTTTAACTAGTGTATTAATTAGTTCGAACAGCAGTCCCGATGACAGTAAAAATGTGTCCAAGGAAAAAGTGCAGAAAAAACGTCGTCGCATCATCAGCAGCGATAGTTCCAGCGATGATGGTAACAGTCCGGCCAAAAGTAAACCGGCTGAAAATGAGATGTGAGTTTTTTTTATTCCGAAAGAGCGTATATTGAAAAAAAATATTCGATAATTTTTATGACATTTTTAGGTCGCCGCCGACAAAGCGAAAATCAACAAGTACAGTTGTAAAGCAAGAGGAAATTTCGCCAGGTAAAGAGAATGACAAGAGCAAAAAGAATGAAACAGCAAAGAAAACACCAATTTCAACTCCGGTCAAAACCCCGATAAAAACTCCGAAAAAATCGCCGACCAAAACGTCGTCGAAAAAGAAGACACAACCGAAATCGGATACAAAGACAAAATCAAAGAAGACATCACCATCACCGGCCAAAGTTAAAGAAGAAAAAATGGACACCAGCCCATCTGAAGCGAAAGAAGAAAAACCAAAACCACATCCATTCTTCACCAAACCAAAGGATCAAGCGACCGATGGCAAACCAGATGATCTCTCATACAATCCAGGCAAAGCCAATTACCATCCCATCAAAGATTGCTTCTGGAAACATGGAGAAAAGTAAATAATTCAAGACATTTTTATACTCGTTGTAATTTCTAACCTCAAAACCTTTATATATTCGGTAAAAAAAGAACACCATACTTGGCTTTGGCACGGACATTCGAGGTGATTGAAGAGAATTCCAGTCGATTGCGTATGATTGAAATTCTGGCCAACTTTTTTCGATCGGTCATTGTACACAGTCCATCCGATTTGGTGGCATGTGTTTATTTATCGCTTAACAAATTGGCACCGGACTATGAAGGTTTGGAATTGGGCATTGCCGAAACGTCATTGATGAAAGTGATTGCAAACACAACGGGTCGTAGTTTGGCTCAAATCAAAGCCGATGCACAAAGCACCGGTGATTTGGGCATTGTGGCCGAGAAATCAAAGAGCAATCAACGCATGATGTTTACACCCGCTGCATTGACTGTGGACGGTGTGTTTACAAAATTAAAAGATATCGCAAATCTGAGTGGACATTCGGTGAGTGTATTCAGTAGGATTGTATTCATTGGATATTGCAAATAAAATTATTGTTTATTTTTGTAGTATTTTGCGAAGCTTTGTTGAAAAAATATAAAACAAACTAAAATATCATTAACACATCTTTGCAGGCAATGAATAAGAAAGTTGATAAAATCCAATCGATTTTCGTGGCATGTCGACATTCAGAAGCACGTTTCATTATGCGATCACTATTGGGTAAGCTTCTTGCCCCTATAGGGGCAATTCACTTAAAAATTGCCTTTCAATTATTTAATAATTGTTATTGATTCTTTTTCAATTATTTGTCGATTATTTTAAATTAATTCTATTCTTTTCTTTTGTGATTCTCCCCTAGGTAAGCTTCGTATTGGTTTAGCGGAACAATCACTATTGCAAGCACTGTCACAGGCCTGTGCCTATACACCACCCAATCAGTATGCAAACGGAGAATCATTCCCACCACAAGTGATTAATGCAAAACCAACAAAAGAACAAATTGAAGAGGTTGCTTTGACAATCAAAACAACTTACTGGTAAGCATTGCGATCGAATTCATCTGTAGCGATGAATTGTTTGTTTATTTCGGTTTTAGTTTATCAATCGAATGACTTTTACATAATGACAAATTATCACATGTACAATTGACGTAATTGTTTTCTTTAGCCAATGTCCGAACTATGATCGTATTTGTGATGTGTTGTTGAAACATGGTGTTGAAGAATTATTGGAAAAATGTCAAATGGCACCAGGCACACCATTAAAGCCTATGTTGGCTCATCCAACGAAGGGAGTTTCAGAGGTGTTACAACGTTTTGATGGCATTAAATTTACATGTGAATACAAATATGATGGTGAACGTGCTCAGGTAAAAACTCGCACAAAGACAAGATTTTTTTTTTTTGAAAATTTCAAAATGAATTCTTTTTGTTTCCATAGATTCACATTGCCGAGGATGGTACAGTAAGTATTTACAGTCGAAATCAAGAGAACAATACAACCAAATATCCGGACATTATCGCTCGAATCGGCGATGCAAAAGGTGCCGACGTAAAATCGTGCATTTTGGATTCAGAGGTTGTGGCTTGGGATGAAGAACGTAAGCAAATTCTACCGTTCCAAGTGTTGAGTACACGCAAGCGTAAAGATGCCGACAAAGAAGAAATCAAAGTGAAAGTGTGCGTTTATCTATTCGATTTATTGTACCTTAATGGTGAACCATTGGTGACAAAACCATTTGCGGAGCGTCGTCGTCTGTTGTATGACAATTTCAAAGAGGTTGAGGGTGACTGGAAATTTGCCACCTCACTCGACACCAACGACATCGATGAATTGCAATCATTCCTAAACGAATCGATCAAAGGTAACTGTGAAGGTTTGATGGTGAAAACTCTGGATGATACATACGAAATTGCCAAACGATCGCGAAATTGGCTCAAATTGAAAAAAGACTATTTGGAAGGTGCTGGAGATTCGTTGGATTTGGTGGTGATCGGTGGATACAAAGGCAAGGGCAAACGAACTGGAACTTATGGTGGTTTCTTGCTCGCATGTTATGATGCTGATAACGAAGAGTATCAATCGATTTGTAAACTTGGCACCGGGTTCAGCGATGATGATTTGGTTAAACATTCGGAATTTTTGAAGCAACACGTCATTCCATCACCAAAGTCGTATTATCGCTTCGAATCGTCACTTGAGCCCGATGATTGGTTTGACGTTGTACAAGTTTGGGAAGTACTATGTGCTGATCTCTCACTCAGTCCGGTTCATCAAGCAGCCAAAGGCATTGTAAGTTTGTCATTCGTTTTTTAATCATTTCTTCCACAGACCAAACTGATCAACATTTGATTAAGATTATTTTTTCATTTTCTTTCGATGCGAAAAGGTTGATCAAGAGAAAGGAATCTCATTGCGATTTCCCCGATTCATTCGTATTCGCGATGATAAATCCGCTGAAGATGCAACATCCGCTCAACAAGTTGCTGACATGTACTCGAATCAAGATCAAATCAAAAACCAAGAAAAATCCGGAAACAAAAACATTGAAGACGATTTTTATTGAGGCCCTACTCGAATTTGCGTTCAATTGTATTTTCGTTATAGTAATGTTGGTCATTTATTCACTATATGTCGGTGAATGAGTTTTTTTTTGTACTAGTTAATAAGGAAAAGTCAAATTATAAAATGAGAATTGTTTTGTTTAGTTGAATTTGGAATTCATATACAATTATTGCAAATTTTTTCATTATCATTCGTAAATATTTTTTTGTTCATTTTTGTTTCTCATTGCGGATCCAATGAATGTAAGAATGTTGTTCTTCGCAATCATTTCTAAACGTAGTCCTTTAGTATATATTGAAATGCGTAAATAAATAAAAAAACAAAGACTCCCTGTTCAAAGTGACATAAAATGTAAACAAAAGCCGAGTTTTATTGTTTATATCTTCTTTTTTTTCACGGATATCATAGTTGGGTGATGACTTTCATATATCGTGCGCGTGGTTCATACAACATAAAAACGAGTAAAATGTTTGGAATGCAAGAGTGAGGCATTGATCATCATTTTGGCACATATTTTTTGCAAGTGCGCATGCGTTCGCTTATTCATTCGCATATCAGAAATTCTCTCACATGTTATGTGATGCGATAAACAATAGCCGACGCATTGGCTGAAACTACTTGATTTGTTTCGACATTTTTTTGTTTTATATTCAAGATTGAATACCACAGAGCACAGACACTTTTGAAGTGAAACACCCGATCAAATGGCATAGACTTTAAGCACACAATTTGTATTTGACGTGTAGCAAAACGGTCGGCTTTTATATTTAGAATGATGATTTGATAATAAATGCTAAACACTTTTAATAACATCGATGCCAAAATAAACATTTGTAATAGGGCGTTTGCAGCGCCAAACATCTGAAACACAAACGAATAATGTGTATATATGACTATTTTAGGATCGATAGAGAATATTGATCGTCAAGGATCGCGAACGCCGTTAGTCACGGTAATGTGATGAAATGTTTTAAGTTTTGCAACACACCTGAATGCGAACAGTCGAGACCGATGAATTTATTTAAGACGATATATGACCCACTCAATATGAACTGGGTGTCGAACGATGATAAGAATGCAGGATGTTTCTTCTCGATTAAATGTATTGACGCATATACTTCTAGTACGAACACTTCACGATTAGTTGAGAGTTAAAATTTATGACTTTTATTTACAACATCTGTAAAAGTATTGCCTATTCATTTGATCTACCTACCATGTAAACCTTGAAATAACAAACTCCCGCGAAGGGGTTACTTTGTGACCCAGTTCAACGTTTCTGAAAAGTAGCTTGTAACTGAAAATAGAATGAAAGAGATAAAAAGAAATAGGACAAATGATGAAACCGGTTAATCCGGAAAAAAATTGTGCCAAAACATTCCGTTCATAAAATATGCAAACAATTTCATGTGGTAAAAAATTAATTTTCGTTCGATTTAAATTCGGTCACATTCCTTTTACACATTTTCAAAATCTGGATAACACAAGTGCAACACACTCAGCACAAACTACCGTTGTAGTTGTTTCATACGATGGGATGCCGTCAAGCAGCCGTGTGTTACTATTGATTTTTTTGATCGAAACAATTCAAAGCTCGTATCAGCTTAAAACGTGTGGCACAAAGGTAAGAGAACGGGAAAAAAATTGATCATGCATGTTCACACTTACGAACTAATCAGTTTGCGATAGATCGGTGGTGGGGATTTTGTCGAAGTTATAAATAAATTTTTGCGATGAGAATATTGCCGAAATCGAAAAAAGGTATGACTGGTCCGAAATGAGTGTGATGTAAATCGCGATTTAGTGTGAGCGAGTGAATAAGTGAGTTGGTCCGAAATTGAGAATCGGACAGTAATGTGAATTTTCGAATAAAAAAGAATAAACAGTTGAAATATTAAGCGTTAAAAAGACGGTCGTGCATAGGCAGGAGCGCAGTTTTAAAATTAACGTGTGAATTATAGAGAAGCGACCGCAAAAAAGAGAAAGAGAGAAAGAGAAATGTGTGCGCGCGCTTATCTATTGCCTTGCTTACTCACTTCGCAATCCAAAATCAGAGAGAATTGAGTCGGTTGACGAGAAGAGTAGCGTAGTTGTGAACGCAGTCATTAGAACGCAGTTGAGAACGCAATAGGAAAATTGTGTGTGCTCTGACTGTCGCACCGGGTGTGTGTGAACTTTAAATGGAGAAAATATATTTTTAATTTATCCCGTGTCGTGTGTGTCGTTTCGTGGACACATTTATTCATTGTGTGTACAGCAGTTACTCATCATACACAAAATATCATATAGTTCGAAGCAAAAAAAGAAGAAAACCAAAACTGCATTCGCTGTGCACACAACGTAATAAGAAGAAAGTTGATCTTTTTTCCGCTGCATAAATTCTTTTATTTTGATAAATTGCACGCAGTTTGTCATCAATCTTTTTTGAAAGCAAAAGAAGTGAGTGAAAAAACGGTTGTGTGCGTGTTCATGTGAATCTTTCTTCGCCGTAACAAAAAAAAAGTGCATGTGATTTTGATAGAAACGGACAGTGCGCTGTGGCTATTTCTTTCACATAAAAAAAAATTTGCCGAAGAGAAGAAAGAACGAAATAAAAGTCAAACAACACAAGATATTTTCAATTTTTTTTTGTTCCTTTGTTTGCCTGACTTGCGAAATTCTCGCGAACCAAAATTGGTGTGAATGCCAACAACGTTTTGCGACGATACAGTTTTATATATATTAAGTAAGAAGCCAGCGACGACCAAAACATTTTTTGAATTAGTCATCCTCATCAGGAAAGTGAAAGCGAGCACTTATTTTTAATATATATATATGTAAGTATACCCAACGAAATAAAAAAAAAACTATTTTAAAGAATATTGCAAATGCTGTTGAGCATTAAATAGAAAAACATGAATATGTATAGCATGTGGTAGCCAAGCATAAATGCTTGACAGTGGAATGTGAACAATGCAACTATACATAGAAATAAAATAGTGAAATGAAGCTGAACGGAGAACAAAAAGGTTAATTAGTTCAAACAGTCAATAAGTCCGAAAAAAATTACAATAAAACACTTGAAAGCAAATTACGCCGTAAATTGAAATTGCATCCGGAACGGCGGGGAAAGGAGTGTAACCGTTCCAAAATCATTGAATCATTTTGTCTATCGTTTTTTTTTCATTTCATTTCAAACGTAAAAATAGTTGAAAATCATTCAAAAAATATTCAGATCGCCAATCGGTATAGCGACGCAAAAAGCCCACGCACAGCCTTTATTCGAGAAATAATCATCATTCAAAAAAAGAGCAAAGAATGGGGAATATATTATATTTTTCTTCCTCAAAGCCAACGTAAAAAAGAGAAAGAGACTGTATCGCGTAATAGATTTCTATCGTAGATTTCAAGATTGAGTGACTGTATCACAATTTTGATTCGTCATCGCCTCGATTTATTATTACATCTTATTGCAGGATATTGAACGAAATTAGATTGCATTATTGACGGTGAAAAAAAAGAAGAAAACATTTTTTGTCGAATAATTTTTAGATGGATGAAAATCAATCGCAAATATCGAGTATTTTCACAAGTCAAGCGCCGTTCGATGTTCATTAGCCATGAAAATGAGTAAAACGAGATCTCATCTCCGTGATATTTTCTGAAACTCATATTTCACACTGAGTTTGTACGCGCCTGAACGAAAAACTTTGCGCAAAGTGAGAGAAAAATATTAAGATGTCAAAAAACAGCTCTTTTTTTAAGATCGTGACAAGGACGTGTGAACAAACGCGATAGAACAAAAACACTTTTCGTAATATAGACAGCACACATTTCCACTCGATCCTTCATCGAAATGATATATAAAAATATTCTTTGGTTCTCTATCTCACTTTGATCGTGTTCGTTATATCGTCGAGCGATTGCACATATTCACAATGTAAATTGTCTACATTTAAATGCGATGAAACGAATGGATCATATAAGTGACGCCCGATGTAACCTTAAATTTAAAAAAAAAAACCGCAGTTTAAAAGGACGATCACTGGAATACAAATTACGTGCTCATTTCAATTAGTTATCACGGGAGAAACCATCTGCATCGATATGTGACTGTAAAATGCGATTTTTTTCTTCTTCTCCGTTTCACAAAAATAAATTTATCGGTTGCGGTTTACTAAAAATAACATCCATTTGACTATTCATGCTGTAAGGCAATATTCCTGCACTGAATGAGATGAGAAAGATGCTCATTGAATACGGAGAAAGAATCACGAACTCATTCAAGGTCGTTGAATTATCGTACATTGGTGAAATGTGAAGCAATTTCGATATATGGTGTTGGTTGTTTTTGTTGTGTGTGAACAAATCATTGCGCAGAATATTACGACGCTGGCACAGCACACGAGAAAAAAAACAAACAATACATTTCTATTCATCGAGAAAATCATGTGGCACACAACGGTTGTTGCCACAGTACACGCTCAATCATAATGTGATTGAGTCGTATAAATAGTTGTTTAATTAGTTCCTGTTATTTTTATACATTGACTTTTTTGATTTTTAAATAATTTCGTTTTTTTGGCAAAATATTCATGAATCGCAGTTTGTTTACTTGTTTTCCTGATCATTGGGTTTTTTTCCCACTCTCCCTCTCTTCCAAATTTTTTTTATTTACGATCAACTGATCGCCAGATTTAGGCGTACAATGAGCTCGAAGCAACAACAACAAACGAAGGCACCGACCACAGATAAAAATGGTAATCATATTTCTCTGAGCAAAGTTTACGAACAAATATTAATTAACGACATTTATTGTATTTCAATTGATATTGTGCAGTGGTCGAGACAGCCGATGCAACCATTGACGATGATAATAAGAGTGATAGCGAGTACGAGTACGAATACGAAGAAATCGAGGTTGAAGTCGACGATGATTATGAAGAAGAAACGGGAAGCAAGGTGATGATTTCTGAAGGTCAGTGCACCAATCGTACTCAACATTCACTTTGATACATGCCACACCATTTGACAAAGTTATTTTAATGAAGTAGTACTACGTGATCAATGATCATTTTTGTTCCTATTACGTTTTCTCTCTCTCTCTCGTTCGATGAGAAGCAGAAATTATTTATTTTCATTAAAATTAATATCAAATTAGTAAAAAATTTATTGCCAAAATTAATTGCGCTGAAAATAGTTCACATAATAATTCATATAAATTCAAATATTGAAATCATTTTTGTTTTTAGTCGAGACAATTGTGCCGAAGGAGGAAAAGAAACCTCAGGAGACGCTTGTCTTGAAATCGGATGGTACGACACAGAAATTGATTCAAAAATCAAAGATTTCACGAACGTCAGTGAGTCAGGATAAACAAGTGAAGACAATTGTTAATCAAGAGAGACAGATGAAACAGGAAAAAAAAACAAAAGTGGAAAAAGTTGAGAAAATGGATATGGTCAACGATGCGGAAAAGCAAGAATTGAGTGATAAACCACGACTGGGTCGAGCATTGACGAGTCAAGAAGAATCAATTTTGTTGCCGCTGCTCCAAGGATTGTTGGCTGCAAATGGAAACGATTCACCAAAGGCAAAACCAGAGAATTCATCATCGCAGAATAAAGAACCATCCACGAGCAACAAGAATAGTCGATCCAATTCGCTTGTCAAGAAAAACGAAAACAGTAAGCGCTACTTGAAGGTGTCTGTTGTCAGGACAGTTTTTAAATTAATTCTATTTTCTTTTAAATTAAAGGTGAATTGGCAGAAGGATCTAATATTCTTGTTGAATTATCGACAGCATTGAATAGATTACAAAATACATTGTTAGAGGAAAAAGAAGTGGTAACCGATACACGGAAACGGAATACAATTTTAACGCTTGTTGCGTGGTTAAAACGTGTCTTACAAACGTCGACCACCGACAATACTGAAGCGCAGCTGTTTTCACTTAGTGAAATGTTGCCAACCGAATTATTGCTAAGCAAACTCATGCCACAGCTCACCAATGGCAATGATAATGAAAAAGATGGACCACAGCAAGACAATCGCTCCCCGTCATCGAAACGTTTTTCACGACAGAAAAACAATCGCTTTAATACGGTTGGTGTGAGCAAAGAAGAATTGGCCGATGCTCGATTGTATTTGCAAAAGAAACTTTTATCGGAAAATCTTGCAACGTCCGCCTCGAAAGTGGTGCATGAAAAAGAGCAACAAGCAATTCTCGATGATGATGATGATAGTCGACGAAAATCATTGAACCTGACCTATTCGAATGATTTGGATAAAGATATTCGCAGCATTTTTCGTGAGAGTAAAAACTCATTTTCAAAATCGATTGATCTTGTGCCATCGCCAGATGATGTGAATCTGAAACATGTGTTCCCAGTAACACGAATTGAACAAACGAAAACGTCTCCGTCGGCACCAACAACAACATCAGCCACACGAATTGAGCAAACGAAGTCGGTATTCCGACGCAAATCGAATCCAAATTTAAATAACGCCACAACCGATTCAGACGACGACGAACCAAATAACCGAAAATCAAACGGTTCAATTACCAATTCAACCAAATCTATGAACAAATTTGCATTACGTAAAATAAAAATGAAACGGGCCAATACAATTGATATACCAAAAGAGCAATTGGCCGAATTGAATTTGAATCACAATTTCTCCGATTCGGTACAACAAAATAACTACGCACATGATAAAACAGTGAATGATATTCGTCAAAATATTACGTCGAATGTTAACAATGAGCTGGATAAAAATCATTTGCCCGAATTTCAAGTGAAATCATCGAATGATAAAAAGTTTATGGCATTTTTGAATAAGAATTCAGATGAAAATCATAGCAGCTATGTGAATCCGTTGAAAACAGCATTGCCCGTGCAAAAAGCCAATTGGACTAATAAATTTGGCAATTTGAAAAACTCATTCGAACACAACGATGCACCACAATTGCCTGTGTCGCCGAAATTGAGCAAAAAGAATAGCTTTACACATGCACCCACATCGCCGTTTAAAGTGGTTCAAAGTAATAAACCACCACAAGTACCAAATGGCGTTCATCATCATCAGTATAACAGTCATAGTGTGCACAATAAAGTTGCCGCCTTTCAAGCACTCGATAACAAAGGACAGCCGCCGCTAGCAAATCCGAAACCACAACTTCGCACCCATCAATCGGTACCATCATATCCAACCGAAGATAAAACGTTTTCAATGTACCGTGATCCAAATGTACATGTAAAGCCAAACGAATGGCAACAAAATAAATACGCATCGGTCGATAGTTACATCCAAAATAATACCGTCTCGCCAAAAATATCGCAAACATCATACAATCCACTCTATGTGCCATTGAACAAACAATCGCCATTAAGTCCGACATCACCACAATCAAATCAAATAACACCGAAACCAATGATTACAGCATCACCAAGTGATTTTCCAACGTATACATACACCTCCACTGATTACACGCAACCAACGTGCGTATCAACATTTGGACCGGAATCGGTTGTATCGCCAATTCAGAATGTTACTTCGCCGGTGATCAAAAATACATCGCCAGTAATTAAAACCACCATTTTGCCGGATACAAGTTATTTAAAATCAAAATCACCGACCAAAAGTATGCCACCACTGTTGGGCTCATCGAGATTGTCCAAACAAATGAAAACAGTGGATTTGTACAGTTCCAATGAATATCTCTCTGAACCGAACACCTATTATCGGTCACCGCAACCATTTTCACCGACCTACGATTACAGCTATCCAATGAGTAATCACGATTCGCGACGTAGTTCTGGTGAATTTATGGCAACATCACAAATTATGAAATATCCACAATGTCAAACGGCAACCGTTGTGAATAAAGTCACCACGCGATACGAAGATGAAAAACAAGCGGCTAATTTACGAGCATTCTTGACAAATAATCGCAATGAAAAACGTAAATCGGAATACAGTGAAAAATCATCAGTGTCACCATTGTCCGAACCGAACTTTAGCCATGTTAATGAAACCTATGTACCGCCTATGGATCCCGGAATACGCATAAAAGCGAATAATAACTTTGTTTCGATGGAAAATATTGGCTCTACACAGTTTGTAACACCAGAACAAGGAGCACCGATTCGATTGCGTAATAATACATCTTATTATGGGTCACACAATCTTCTGGTTTCAAATCAAAATGAATTCATACCGCCAAAAACACAACAACAATTTCTGAGTAAATTTGATTCAAGCAAAACGATTGACAAATCGAAGTCGATTGCGGCTCCGGTCCGATTGAATAGCTATGGTGGGCAATATATCCAACCGAAGGTTGAACAACAACTAGATTTTAGTAAGCCCACGTACGGTAGAAAGCCCACGAATGACATTCAAAATAATGTGGTTAATAATAACATAACGAATCTGAGCCGAAGTAATACCACCACACATCAACGCGTTGCAAACTATGAAGTTAAACGAAAACAATCGCTTCCTGCACAAAATTCCGATTTCTTTGAGTCTGAATTTGATCAATATCAAAATGCACAAAGTAGTAGTACTTATTTACCATTTGGTGCATTGAAAAAATCTAAATCAACACATACATTGGCGTTGCTAAAACAATTTGAAGATAAAACGAAAACAGAAGAGGTTCCATTGCCATCGTATATTCGAAGACCAACGTTTGAGGTGCCCGAAACGAAACCGATTGAAATGAAACCCAAGTCAATTATTAAGAAAACACCGAAAATTGAAGATGCAATACCGATGCAATCGCTTCCAAAACTAGTTCAACAACCGTCGAAGCCAATTCAATCAGTGTCAACACCGGCACCGCCCATTCGATCAAAGAGTCCACCACAAATTGCACCAATTTTACGAAAAAGTCCGCCAAAACTTGAACCGATTGTAGCAAAGAGCACACCCCAGGTTCGACCAAGAACTCCATCGCCACCGCCGCCTCCGATTCGAAAGACTCCACCAAAGAGTGCTGTGGTTCGTCCTCCGCAAAAACTTCAAGCGCCCGAAATTACCGAAACTCCATCGTCACCACTTGTTGAAGATGGTCATATCATATATCCGGGTCAAACGGCCGAAACAAAGCGTCGTGTTCAACATTATGCACAAACACTCAACGCGATGCTAAATCGCAAATCGATTGTTATGGAAGACGACGAGGAGGAGGTTAGTGATAAAAAAGAATCACCAAAGGGTGGTGTACAACGATCAAAATCTGGTACACTATTGACCGTGCCAAAGCAATACGAAAGTGCCATTAAACGTTCAGAAGTTTTGGAAAAAGAACGAACTGTTGCTGCATATTTTGCGGGCAATAAATCACCGCAAGGTTTACAGCGTTCATCATCACAACACAGTGTACAATCGTCGACGTCGGTGCGAACAGTTGAAGAGCAAAAATCAAATACCGTTTCACCCATGGAAACGAACAAAGATTCAAAATTAACGGAATTACGAGAAACAAGCAGTCGAACTACAACAACAACCACAAAATCGGCGCATCATTTGAAAATTTTGCGCAA